TGCCATAGACTTGCTCGGATTTCAGCTACTCGGAGGAGACTTGAGGTATAACTGCATAGCGTCTGCAGTTCTGAAGTCCCCGTCTATTTTACTTTAGCTGCATTTTTTTTTCAGACAACTTTATTTTATTCAGACCTTTATTTGTATTTATTCTAGAAGCTNTTATTTCCAGACAGCTTTATTTTATTTAGACCTTTATTTGTATTTATTCTAGAAACTCGTGCACTTGTGACACCAATTCTGGGATGGTATTTAGACTTTACTTCCGTATTTGTTCTTTGTTATTAACAAATTCAAAAATTATTTTAAAAATGGATAATATTATTCTAACGTTGGCTTGCCTAGCAAGTGAAATGTTAGGTGTCATCACGGTCCGAAGGTGTAAATTTCGGGTCGTGACATTAATACAATTATAATACGATATTGTATCAGTTTCAGTTTATAGTTGGTTTTAAGTTGTATCGTAATTGTATCATAATTGTGTAAGAACTTTTTTAGGATTGTATCTGAATTGTATTTGATGCATCAATACATGAAAGAATACTTGATACAACACTGATACAAGTACAATACAATCTTGTGTCAGAATTATATTAGTTTTTAGAGTAGTAACGTGTATAGGTAGAAAATTTTCAGATTTCCTATAATTACTGTGATGGATCTTCAAAATTGTATAGGATCGAAAATGTTACCATACAAAAAAAATCCATTTCTTTGGTTCAAGACTTTTTTTGTCCATTTGTATTTTTCTTGTGGCTTCTTATACCAGAAGCGAGTATCTTGTATAGAGTTTTCGAGAAATTGGAAGAAAAAATTTGGTGAAATAATATTGGAAGAAGAAGTTGCTTCCAGACATGCTTAGAAGAAAAGGGAGGGAGAGGAGTAGAGAAAAAAGGAAAGGATATAATTCAATCCCTTAATTGAAGGTGCTAATAATGGGGTGAGAGCTTTTTAAGGGGGAATACATACAGTTTGTAAAAAAAAAAATAGATACTTTTTGAAAACTACAAAACTTAGAGAAAATAGATAAATAAGTTTCTATTATAGTATACATAGGAAAAACTCCCTAAAATTTTGAGGGGCTATAGAGGGTCATTTTCTCTATATCCAAGGAGTCCTGCAATGGGCCTTGATTTGACTGCTGTTGTGGCTCTTATCGTTGCTCAAATAATTGTCAATATTGCAACTGGATGTATATGTTGCCGGAAAGGCCCGCATCAATCAAGATCTAATTGGACACTACTGATATACAAGTTCATCAGTTCAGTATTTCGGTGCATTCTAGATCAATAGAGGGCTGCATTGTTGTACTGTGGCTTTTTAAGAAATCCTGCCTCCTTTTGTTTAGGAAATGGAAGCCTATACCTCTGAGTCATGACTGTAGACATTAGCTACTGCACCAGTATGAAGTAATTATTAGACCTAATAAAGCAGAATAGATATAGATGACTCATATGAAGATGGATTGATTCTTTTTCTGTGACATGTACAGTATTTGTCTTTGGTCATATCTCAGTATCTCACATGCATTGAAATGTTATTTCTCTTACTGGACACATATTACCATCTGAAGAAGCTTTATCGAGAGTTGCCTCTTATGCAGGTTCAAGCTTTTCTACTATGCTAACGGCTGCAGCACTGAATGATCAGCAGAGTATATTACCTTGGAAACTACTATTGCTATGTTGTAAAACCTGGAGTTTTTGTCCCTTGCTAGTGTTGCTCTTGGAATTGTCTATTATCTTTCCTTCAACTCCGGGACAAACAGTAACGATCCATGGCATCCACCAGCGCCAAGTTAATGGCATTGCAATGGGACTTGATCGCCCTGCAAGCTTTTGTGCATGAAGATACTTACATGAGAAGGCTGTCTACTTGATCGCCCTGCAAGAACACAGAGACATGTTTAGAACACATACAGTTTCTGTTAGCAGCAATTGCTCTATTTGTCAACTCTAACATAAAATTTCTTGTTTGTTCTTTTTTCTTTTTTTTCTTCTTTTTCTTTTTCAATTGCATCAGTAGTGATAGCATTTTTGTTAAAAATATGGCGGTCTATAGCATGTATCTTAAGTTTTCGGGTGTATAAAACATCCTTTTTGTCGACTCTTGTATTTTATATCATAATACCTGCTCTTTTCTTTCTTTTCTAGTTTTTGAATTTTGTTTTACATGGAAACAACCTCTCTTCCCTCTCGGGGTAAGATGTGCGTACACACTATCCTCTCCAAACCCAACTTGTGGAAACTCACTAGGGTTTTTTTTGTTGTTTTACGTATCAATGTGTAAATAGAGAGAACGCATCAATGTGTCATATTATAAGATACCTGAATCTGTAGAAGAAATTTAAGAGAATCCTTTGGTAAATAGAGGAGTTGAACCAAGGATTCATATGTACCACGAGCAAAAAAACATACTTCTGAATCCATTAGGACGTACATCAATGTTTCCACCAACAAACAAAATGATCTATGCACAACCGGCCAATACCTGCATATATTACACTACTCTCAATGGCTGTAAACTACTAAGCCAATTAAAATCTGTTGAATCCTCTATGGATCTACAAACCCCAAGCTGGAACTATAACCCGTACACTGTAGATATATTCCCTACATTAGGATCTAAATACTCTACATCCAGTCAATCCTTCCCTTGGAAGATGAGCCAATGTTCCATGAAAGAGTGGTGTTATCTACTGTGAGAAAATTTTGAGAACTAAAATAAAAAAACTAGGATCAGCTGGACAGGATCATTCATGATAACAAACGCCATGAATGCAAACCACCTATTGGGTATTAATGGAATCAAATTAGCTTCTGCCCAAACTCTCCATTTCATGAATCCACCATTTCGTCTTGTATCTCATTCGGTGCGATAAGCCCTGGAATGGAAAGCATCCTTTGTCGCTCCGTCTCTCTCTGTGCAGCAACTTCCTCAGCATAAAGGTCCTTGTTGTCCTGCAGATCAAGTCAACATATTGAAGAAACTAGAACATCAGGAATCCAAAAAAGTAAAACAGAAGACCAAAAAGGAAAAGAGAGATAAAAGTAGAGGTCCAAAACAGAACAGCTAGAGATTTAACAGCTTCGTTGCTACTAAGTTAATATGGAATAGCTTGACAGGCTTATTCCATCCCTCGAGGTCGAGGAAGCAATACATGTCCCACAATTTTGCAACCCCAAAAAGGAGAAGGAATAAGACTACACAAACAAAATCAAGTACCAAATGTGGTTTTCGCAGTTAACATTAATTGCTAGAGATTGAAAACAACACACACCAGCCAAACACAAATTTCAATCACTAGATTAATGGCATATACGTATTTAGTAATGAATTTACTGGAAGAGGATAGCAAAATGGAAGACAACCCCACCACACAAAACCCCGCCAGAAACTAAGGGTGATTGGAAGCTTAAAGGTCTCCATGAAATAATAACCTGGGCAGAGAATTCTTTGGACTGAACAAGGAAATCTCTTATGTGATTCTTGAATGTGGGCAGGTCATTCGTCGATTCAAATAGCCCACTCACAAATTGGGTAACCTGAAAAGGAACAGAAGTTCTAAAATTTAGGGCATAACGTACACCACAAAATATATGAGAAACATCATCTAAAAGGTTTTACTCACCTCGGCTGATGTCATGTTTGGAAATGATGAACTAAGAAGTTTAATGGTGTATTCACGGACAAATGCCGCATTATTTGGATAAGGAAAAGGCACTGTTGATGCATCCCATAGAGGCTCAGTCAACATGCCAGACTCAACCTGTAACCAGAACACTACTAATGTGACGCACATGCTAGTGCAACTGGGCAGAGCACTTTGTCAGGCAGATACATACCAGGCAAAATAAATGCTGTAGCACCAATACATGCAGTTTAAACCCAGGTTTATGAAATGTGTCCGTCAGCACAGCGAAAATCTCTTGCTCGATTGTCAAATAGTAAGTCCTGTAAAACTGGTTAGCGAACTCGGATACCTGCCAAGAGATAGAAAATGGTTACACCACCCAGTCACAGAGAACGAAAAATCATTATAGATGGGCCAATAATCAGGAAGCACCTGAAAATTCTTGAGCATCTCCAATAAAAGGTTAAGCCCAGTTTCAGCAATGTTCCTCTCAGTGTGCCGGAAGGCCCATACAATAGAGTCCATAACAAGCTTTACTTGCTGATCATCAATCAGGAAAAAACATCAAAATCCAGCATAAGCTCAAATAAACTTAGAGAAAGAAATGACAGCCATATCAATGTATTTCTGAAAAGTGCTTTGAATATACAAAAAAGGTGCTTTAAATACACTACACCAAGAACTAGCCATGGGATCGCATACCTCACTTGATAGTCGTATTAAAGCAGGAAAACAATGTGTAGCAATTGCCTGAAGTAACGAAAAGAACTTGAGCCGATGTTCTGGATAATCTTCAAAGTTCTTCGTGATCATCTGTTGTCCAGTAAACCAATTGATCAAACTGATAATTCCCTAATAGTTATCACAAAAATCACATTATCTATAAAGCAACTAGATAGCCTTGTGCTGGTGGGGCACATTATATCCTTACAACTTGCCATTTAGTTCAAGGGACACAACTAACTTAACTAAGAAAATCATGATGATATGACCAGTTAAATACTCCCAAAAAAGGGGGAAAAAAAGAAAAAAAAAGAGAGATCAGCTCTTCTTAGGTGTATGTGAACTCTATGAGCCAGTAATGGAAAACCATTTGGACTATGGGAACGAACGGAGTTGCAATAGGCCAAAAAATAATCAGTTGGTAGACATGTCTGTCATCTATGCATATATCTCTGCAGAAAAACTTCAATGGCTCCGTGCTAGTCATATATCCTAAATAAAATCAACCGATGAAGCAGCAGTTGAAGACAAAGCAAGCAATTGATAAATAAGAAAGATTGTGAATATGAGCAGTATCACTCCAATTAATGCACATAGAGGTATCAATAAAATCATACATCTGTAAACTCTCTCATTGTTCCGCAACAAAAATCAGCCAACAGAAAGCTCATATAGCTTCAAATAGCACTTTGTAGCTTAATGTAATGCTTCAGTACTCCTCGATGTAAAGACAAACACTACATACAAATTTACCGCACAATTCACTAACCTCCAGAGTACACTGGAATACAGCTTCAAATATCCGAGGCACATCCTCTATCATAGCACCCTTGTACCTACACAAGGAAGAAAATAGAGAAGCAAATTTAGCATAGTTTGCCATTACTGACAAAAATAGTATAAAGCAGTAACTCATGGACATCACTTCTGTTCAGTGTGACTTGAAAAGCTGCAGGTAATTCATATGGGAGCAAACCACCACATTTAACATTTGGGGTGGGAAGGTTCATTCTAATAAGGTAGATTCAATTTTCTATTGTTAATCTTTCTGCGCTATAAAGTGCCAATTGGAAGGAGAAAGAGTAGCTTACTTGTTTATAATTGTAGCAAAAAGAGAGAGAACTTCAGATTCCCTGGCATCAGGAACATTTCTCGTATAGTCACCTAAAACTGGATCCATCATGGGCGGCACAAATTGCTTTCCAATATGTGGTTGATCTTCAGCCTTGTCCAGAAATGTCTCAATAAGCTTTAACGTTTCCCTCTTTACTGAGCTGTCTCTCATCAAAACCCAAAGTGAGATGCATGACAAAAAGTTGGATAAAAAAGGAACAAACTAAATAAATAGACCATACCGCAAAAGTTTCACAATGGATGTCCTAGATGCATAGGGCCCTCCTTGTGCAATGCTTGTTGATATCAGCTCACTGTACATTCTGCAGTTATAAAAGCTCGCCATTAAAAACCAACGACTAAAACCTCACTAAGTGAAGCAGCAACATGAACATTGAAACACCAAATTAGGGCCCACATCATATAACATAGAATAACCAAACAAGATAAAGGAAGAGGGACACAACCAATGATGTACCTGTAAACATTGAGCATGTCCAGAAATATGAGAGTAATTTGAGGCAAGAAATATGTCCCAAGGGAGCTAGCAGCACTGGTATTTGTCTGCACAGGTAAGAGAAAAAACACGGAAGCAAATGCTCAGAATAAGAGATTTCAAACAGAAGGAAGTTTGGTTCTTACCAAAATCGTTAAATATGAAATAGAAAATGTGAAGATCGATTCTTAAAATAATATTAACCAATCCAACAACTATAAAAGCAACTACGATTTTTTCTTTTTTAAAGATAAAGATTTTATTAATAAATGTGCCAAGGAGGTACACAAAAGTACAAAACAAACATCCTCTACAAATTTGGACTCAGGAATACTGCTTGCTTTGAGAACAAAAAGAAACATATTTCCAGAATTAAGAACCTTTGTTTACACAAATTTCGGAAAAAAATGAAAAGGAGCATGTAAGTACTAAAAAAGGCCAGCATTAGTAATCATAATGTAGAACTTATATTGTGTTCAATACAATCCATTAGATTCCCATAGAGCCTAATGTGTCAAAAGTGCACTACATTTTTGTGCTTACCACATAACCAAGGTAGAACTTGAATGAGATGTTAAATTGAAACTGGCATGAGGATCACTTGCTACATAGATGTTTGAGAATGAATTAGAGGTCTTTATGCATCATTCACTGGAAATACACTACCAGTCATTCTGCAGAACATATAACACGGAAGGAGAAAATGGACGTTCTCTATACACAACTTTTACAATTCAAATCCCATACTGAATGCTGAAAAAAGGGGAATATCAGTTTTAAGAAAATGCAATCAGCAAAACGCGCCACTATGGCAACTGATACATATTGAGAAGGAACCACATTTTTTAACTTCTATAAGAAACATACCTGCAATATATTTAACACTGCTCTAATAACATCTTGATCTTTCAGGTAATCAACACTTTGCCGTGCCTGTCCTATAATTTCGGCCCATTTCTAGCCCAGAGAAAAGGTATTCATAAGTGATAAAGAAGTGTAAACTCCAAGAATATTTAAAGTACAGCCATAAATTTAGCACATTGTCAACACATAAAAAACACAGAGAGCATTTGAAGCCAACTCCCAATCTGAATCATATTGTGTGGGTCTTGCCTGATTCGGAAGCTCCATTAACCTCTG